ATACGAGGGAACCCCCATGAGGCTATCAGCTAATTTTTCTGCAGACTTTGCAGGCTGGAAGGGAGTGGCATGATATATTTAAAATGCAGAAAGGTACACCTACAACCTAGGATACTCTACCTAGAAAGGTTTCATTCAGATCTGAAGGAGAGATTGAGTTTCCTAGAGAAGCAAAACCTAAAAGAATTCATCACTACTAAACCGAACTTACAAGTAAAGTTAAAGGGTCTTTTTTAAAGTGAAAAAGACCCCAAGTAGCTAAAGCAATCTTGAGAAAATAGAACAAAGCTGCAGATGCCATGCTCCCTGGCCTAAGACTATGTTAAAACAATGCTACGGTAATCAAAACAACATGGTTACTGTATAAAAACAGAGAGATCAACAGAATGCAATAGAGAGCCCAGAAATAAAGCCATGCGCTTATGATCAATGACATAAGACAAAGGAGGCAAGAATATACAACGGGGGAAAGAGTCTCTTCACTAAGTGGTTCTGGGAAAACTGGACAGCTACATGTAAAAATATGAAATCAAAACATTTTTCCACACCATATGCAAAAATAAACACAAAATGAATTAAAGACCTAAGTGTTAGACTGGAAACCATAAAACTCCTAGAAGAAAAACATAAAAGCAGAACAATCTTTGCTAAGTCATAGCAATATTTTTGATGTTTCTCCTCAGGCAAAGGAAACTAAAGCAAAAATAAACAAGGGGGACTTACTTAAATCTAAAAGCTTTTGCACAGCAAAGGAGATCATCCATATAACAAAAAGACAACCTGCTGAATGGGAGAAATTATTTGCAAATGTTATGACTGACAAGGGGTTAATATCCAAAATATATAAACAGCTCATATAATTCTGTATCATAAAAATAAATAACCTGATTAAAAATTGGTAGAATACATGAATAAACATTTTTCTAAAGAAAATATACAGATGACTAACAGGCATATGGAAAGATGCTCCACATTGTTAATCATCGGAGAAATGCAAGTCAAAATCACAATGAGATACTACCTCACATCTGCAAGAAGACCATCATCAAAAAGTCTACAAATAACAAATGTTGGCAAGGAAGTGGAGAAAAGGGTACACTGTTGGTGAGAACATAAACTGATGCAGCCACTGTGGAAAACATTTTGAAGGTTTCTCAAAAAATTGAAAATAGAAATACCACATATCCAACAATTTCACTGCTGGGTATATAGCTAAATATAATGAAAACTCTAATTTGAAGAGATATGTTTACCACAATGTTCACAAGGG